CAATTGCTTCCTCTTCGGTTTCGCCAACACCATAAATTACCATATCGTCATGGACCGTCAGTAGGCCATCCAATCGGGTTAATTACTCGAAGATCTGCCAAACGGTCAAGCTCAGCTTTTAGTTTAGATTTTACTGCGAATGGTACTCGACGGGATGGTGGGACGGTGGGTGTCACAGACGGATCAACTTCCAAATGCTGTTCACGATGGAGAGTCCCAAGTTCCCCGGTAAACACATCATCGTATTCTTTCACAAGGTCTCTGGCTCCCTTCAGGGTATCCCTTATTCCCATACCCGCAACTTGCTCGAACTTTTCTATGTGAATTTCTACTAACCCCATTTGTTGAATAACTCTGGCACCCAGTAATGGCGTAAGATCCTCTTTAACGATCATGAATTCGACTGAATACTTTCGACTATCTTTTGGATGCTGTATTGTTAATCAACAAGTCCCTTCTGGCTTAAGCTCACTTTTATTCAACATTTGCAGAACTCGATCAGTCGGTTTTATTATCTCTTTATTCTAGACGTGTTTCAGCGGAAGAACATTTACCGTCGCCGCACAATCGATGTGGAATTTCACAGGTTTACTGTTTACGTGCATCTTTGCATAAATTTTTTTCGGCTGGTCACGGCCCACGGCGCTGATCGTTTCCGGTTTAACAGTCACACTATCCAAATATTCTAAATCACTAGAGTCTGCCCCACTAAATTCTTCTGCTTTCACGCTCTAAGCTTCATTTTGCATTGTTTTTCAAAGTGATTTGACTTCTTACAAATAATTGCATAATACCTCAGCATAAGCTCTGCAAAACTCATGCCCACGTTTGTGACTGTCGCCAGTCGCCACAGTAATTACAATTCATTCGATTTTCGCTGAAATCCGTCATTATTTCCTTCTGACTTGTTCTTGCTTTTCGCCCCAACGACTTTAGATAGATAGATAAGATAAAACCTTTATTTTGATAGGGTACTCTCATCAGACCACAACTGGTCTGTTATCAACGAGAGCCCTATATAAACTACAAAAATTTCTCTAATGTTAAAAACTACGCTACATGCAACTATTAACTATGATATAAATGTAATATGGTAAGTTAAAATCCCAAAAATTGAAAGTATCTAGCAACTGTCACATAAACGATTAAAAACCTTTGCTCCATTATAGTAAAACGATTTCTTCGCCATTTCTGTTCGAACTCTTGGCAAATGCAATAAGTTACTTTGGCGGGTGGTTCTTACTGTCAATTGACGATTAAAACTAAAATAGTCACATAAAAATTGAGGAACAATTCCCCTCACACATTTCTTAACTAATTTAAAAATATGCTGTTCTCTCCTGCTTTTCAGAGTTTCCCAACGCAGATCGTGCAGAGCATCATCACTATAGCCCACTTTCATTACTACCCTTGCTGCTCTACGTTGTATTTTCTCCAGCTTTTCCTCATCCCCGATATTGCAACAATTCCAGACCGTATCACAATAGTCTAATATTGGTAGAACATAGGATTTGTAAACGATGTTGGCAGCATGTGTCGAAATATCATTCCGCAATCTCCTTAACATTCCAACTCTCGCGGATGCTTTCATCAGAGTATGATATACATGGTCTTTCCAGGACAAAGAGTCGTCCATAACAACTCCAAGATACTTGTATTTAAACACCTGCTTAATCCTTTGACCGTTTATATAAATCTCAAAGTTTTCTATCGTATGCAGCCGTTTTGTAGAGCCGAAAAGAACACATTCTGTCTTGTCCGCATGTAGAAAAAGTTTATTTGCATTCAACCAGGCATTTAATGCATTCAAATCGGCTGAAACAACCTTCTCAACATCAGTCACACTTTTCCCACTGTAGAAAATTACCGTATCGTCAGCATACATCAATATTGAACAAGACTTCATAACATTCGGCAAATCATTTACAAATATGACAAACAAAAGAGGTCCCAAAATGGATCCCTGTGGTACACCTGAGTTTAGTGATAGTGGATCAGAATACGTATTGAAATAGTCAACCAGTTGCTTACGATTTGATAGATAGTCTTTAAACCAATCGAGTTCTCCTCCTGTAACCCCATAACCATGCAATTTTTCCAGAAGTAAATCATGGTCGACCGTATCAAAAGCCTTGCGAAGATCAACAAACACAGACCCCGTAAGCAAACCCTGATCCATACCACGTCGAATACTATCGGTAAAACTTATACAGGCTGTTTCAGTCGAGTGACGCTTGCCAAGCCGCTCTGATACGGACTCAACAAGTTGTTATCAGTAATAAACTTGTACAACTGGGTATGGACAGCTCGCTCTAATATCTTAGAAACAGTAGGTAGAATTGATACTGGACGATAATTATCCATATTATCGGAGTTCCCTGATTTAAAAAGTGGGATAACTCTTGCCTCTTTCCACTCACTTGGAACACATCCATTAGTCAGCGAAAAATTTATTATTTTCGTAAGTGGATTTGTAATGATTTCCGCCGAGTCTTTTAAAAGTCGTGTAGGGATTGCATCTAATCCGACTGCTTTCTTACTTTTCAACTTATTAAGTTGACCAAGTGTAAAATTCTCGGATACCTCCTGAAAATGAAACAGTTCTTTTGGAGAATTGCTTTTCCAATACGTGCCAAAACTCTCTCCTAGTGTAAAAACAGATCCCATAGCTTCGGTCAATCGGGTTATTGTGCCAACAAAAAATCTGTTGAAACCATTTGCAATCTTCGAATAACAATACAATGACGTGTTATCTACTTTAATACTCCTAGGAAGTTATTTTTTCCCTGGTATTAATCTAGTTAATGTCCTCCAAAAAGACTTGGGGTCTTCAGAATTCTCTTCTATTAACTTCCTATTATAACTTCTTTTAGCTGATTTCACCAATGCAGTGACCCGATTTCTACGTAACTTATATTTGTTCCAATCTGCAGCCAAATTAGTCTTACGAGCTGTTTTGCTTTGATTATCCCTTTCATGCATGACTTTCTTAATCTCCCCATTCAACCATGGACAATCAATTCCTCTCACCCGTTTATTTATCACTGGTGCATGACGATCAACAACAGAAATAAATGCAAATTTAAAGTTAAGCCACATTCGATCAATGACACTCAAATTCACACTCAATCTTTCTGGCAAAGTCGAATTCATTTGTTTCTCCCAGTCTTTATGTATACCTTCCTGCTTTGTACCTTCACCCAAAAGCTTTATCTGCGTTGTTGACGCTTCATCGCTTCGACAAATATCGATACACTTCGCCAGCGTTAAATCTGCTTGTCTTAGTAACCGCTTGCGAGTGTTTGCATCGTTTATTCCCAAAAAAACACGATCTCTAAGCAGGTAATCACACAAACATGTACAAAAATTACATGTCTGAGCAAGCGTTCGTAATTCTGCCACGTTTTCATCAATAGTTTCTTCTTCCTTCTGCTTTCTGCTGTTAAATATGAATCTTTCGTATGTTTCGTTGGTCTCGCCAACAGCATACCTATCGAACTTTTCCATTATTTTCGATATCTTGCGTTTATCTTCAGGTGGTGGATCAAAACTGTTGTAAATCTTTATAGCATCGGGCCCAATCGAGTAGAGAAACAAGGCAATCCGGTACTATATCTTTCGTTGGAATTGAACCCGGTTTGAGATACTGTACATTGGACGACGAAAATTTCCGAAAATAATTCTTGGGTAAAAATTATCACGGGAATTAGAGCCGATGAACAGGGGCGGATATAGGATTTTTTTACGTTAGTCAAAATTTTCGTAGGCCAATTTTCGTCACCAATCGTCCTCCCCCCGCCAGATTTATGAAATTTGTGAGGCTTTCCAAGCTTAATGCCAGGTTATAGTCTGCTAAATTCCTAGGGCACAGCTATTGAATGCCACACAAAACATTGTGTAGGCACTGAAATGGAAGGTTTAAAAAGGGACGTTTTGTGGGTATAAAATGCATGTTTTTATAGCAATAGTCAAATCTTAATAATGGTAGAAATTTACCCCTTCGAACAGACCTCTCAAGAAATTTTCAGCTTAAAATGTTATTGTCTAGTGAAATGTAAGAACACAGGTTTATTACGTTATCATTGAATTTGGTCAAAGCGAAATTGCTTTATAATTATATATTATAATGATTTCGCAAATATCCATAGCTTTCTAAATCTTTCAAACTGCTAATTACAGATTATTACACTAGCTCACAATCTATACAATGCCAGCAAGAAAAATCTGGGTAATGCGAATAATCAATACAACAAATGAGAATATGAATAGGCTCGAAATTCTAAATCGATTTGACGGGCGACGGGCGAATGCAAATATATGCTAATAACAACAGCCTCAAAGCCTAGGTAAAATATATAAGCTAACAATAACATAGTTAAATTATCGGACCATTGTTTATATGAACTTATAGTATTATCTACGGTGGCCCGTATGTGCAATGCATAAAACAAATGTTCAATGCAAAATTAATGTTTACAATGCATGATAATATATAGAAATGTACCGAAAACAACATAGATTTGTTCTCAATCCAAGCTAAAGAAATACAATGCAAAATAAAATCGATCCTGATAGAAAATAGAATTGACCACAATGCAAACAAAACTAATCCCGATCGATGCAAAATAAAGTTTGATCAATGCAAAATAATTACCGCTATCCCAAGACAGCGTGGGCGCACTTTAAATTAAGAATGTTTATATCACTTTTTAAAATTTTAAAATCACTATAGTATTTAATTAATGTGGATAACTATTGCGCTTAAAAACTGTATAAATATGTTTTGCCCTTTCTGTGGTGAAGCGGTAGAAAGTGCATTTAAATTTTGCTGTAATTGTGGACGTGAGTTGCCGCAAGTAGAAAATAATCCAACAGAAGAAGTGGAGACTGTTTTTCTACATGATGAGACAACCTGTGATGAATTAGTTAAACGTTATTTCAGGCAAGGATTTGCGTACGAAAAAATTCTTCTTTTCCTCGCTAATTATCATGGCATTCAAATGTCCTTGCGATCTCTCAACACTAAGCTCCGTTCCCTTGGTTTACGGAGGAAATACAACGACCTCGACATTAATTTTCTTCGCGATCGAATCCGAGAGGAGTTAGATGGGCCTTTAAACTCTGCTGGATATCGTTCTGTCTGGCACACTTTAAAGTTGCAGGGTATACAAGTGCCAAGAGAAACTGTCCGGGTCCTCGTAAGTGAATTAGATCCCGAAGGTGTGAGAGAAAGACGAGCAAAAGCTCTTAGAAGAAGAACATACAGATCACCAGGGCCCAATTTTGTTTGGCATGTGGACGGATACGATAAGTTGAAGCCATACGGATTTCCGATACACGGTTGTATTGATGGGTACAGCAGGAAAATCCTATGGCTGAAAGTATCCAGAACAAACAATGACCCTGCAGTCACTGGACAACATTTTTTAGATGCCATATCAAAATATGGTGGCTGCCCCACATTGTTGAGAACTGACAATGGGACTGAAAACGTAAATATGGCTGCAATCCAAGCTTTTTTGCGTTGTGGGGGAGAAGATGAATTGGCAGGGTCTAATGCCCATAGGTATGGGTCTTCCCCTGCCAATCAACGCATAGAATGTTGGTGGTCATTCCTGCGGAAGAATCGGTCAAATTGGTGGATCAATTTTTTCAGAGATCTCATTGAAAGAGGGGACCTGAGTACATCGAATGATTTACAAAAAGAGTGTTTATGGTTTTGTTTTGCAAAGCTTTTGCAAGATGATTTGAACTCAGTAACAAAGCACTGGAATAGTCATTATATACGGAAGTCTCGCTTTGATACTGTGTCAGGCAGGCCTGATGAACTTTACTTCCTTCCAGAGTGTTCTGGTGCAGAAAACCACATAAAACCTGTAGATAATGATGATTATCAGGACATGTCCCAATACTGTCATTATTATGAGGAAGACAACCTTTTCCAAGAATATTTTCAGAGTGTGAAGGAGGAACTTGGCCTGGTCTTACCAACTAATTGGAGAGCTGCCTTGGATATGTTCAACAATTTATGTGAAATTGCACAAAGATAATTTATATGGTATATACAGGGTGTATGCAAAAAACTGATGTTATTTAATTTACTCAAATACACCCTGCAACAAGTGTTTGAATGCTTCTACAATTAATTATGATCCTCTAAACATACAAAAGAGAATATCATAAATAAAAGTTAAACATAATTTTAATATTTATATGCCATGTACATACCTATGGAAATATTACTAACAATTGTTTCCAACTTAATATTTTATCAATGTAAATTCAAACAATTTTAACAAGTTTTGCAAGAAAGTTCTTGCTATGATAATAACAGTAACACCCATTTTCTTGTTAACGTTTAACTTTAGCTAGCAGCTTAGCAAACTCATAGTTTACTGAACACACCACCATTTATCAAAGCAGTTAATAAATTGTGAGCAATACTATTTTCAATTGTATCGTGGTTAACATACAAATATAGCGTGTTTGCACATGTTTGTGCACTTGGAATCTTCTTGGTATCATCATGAACAAAAATTATGCTTGGTGGAGGATGAAAACCAACAGTAGGTATATTTGTTGCCCCAGTGGCAAAGAGCAAAAAGTGGCTTGGGGTCACTATTGGAATGAAATTTAACTCTGTTGGCGTTAATTCAACTCCTTCATCTTGAAGGTCTTGGAGTAATGTGCCATCTAGAGGAAAGAAAAATAAATAGCATCTATTGTATTAATGATTGCAGGTAGAAAGAGAAAAGGTAGCAGTTTGCCTGCAAAACTCAGGCAAGCTTTTATTGACTTTCTGTGGTTGCAACATAAAATTATATGCTTATAAAGGCAACGTTCTTCAAAAACTAGTTAAAATCCATGATAACTTTATCATATATTGAATAATTTAATAATGCTCCCTAAGAATTATTAAACAGTATTTACCTTCAGTGGATTTGAGGAAAGCAACAAATTTTGACATTACAATTTTCTGTGACTGCCTTCGATGATTCCCAAGTTCTGCAAAATCAGGTCTTAAAATGTTGACCACCTTCTTGGTATCAATTTTCTCATCCTTGTGCTTGAATAAGTGCTCTGCCATTCCTTTATGTTCTCTGACAAATTCAAGGACCTGAAACATATTAAAAATAAGGGCCAATTTGTTAAAGGGAAAAGTATCTCTTCCTCCTGTAAATGCCATATACTAAGAGAAGTGATAACCTAATTATCATAAGAGAAATGCATAATAATAGTAAACTAATGCCCCTTACACCATAATATTTGAGTCCCTCCAAAAGGTGATCTAACATGGCTTGGCACTTTATAATCACAAAATATTTCACTACTTCACAAATGAACACATCCTTCTTTTCAAATGGGACTGTGACAGGTAATCCATCAATTTCGTATCTCCATTCACTTTCTGCCAAGAATGTATTGACTTCCTCCTGAGTTTTACTCTCCTTCAGCTGAAAAACAAAATTATTATTCAGTTATTAGGGCAATTTCAGAATCTCAATAATGACCTGCAATTTTTAAATGCATATACTCTTAATGGACTTGACTTAATTTAGTTGCCAATATATATAGATATTTCTATCAGTTCTTCAGTTTCAGTTCTATAGATATTTTCATTCATAATTCCTAGCAAAAACTTAGTGTCTGGCTTTGGAGTGGGTAATATTTAAAGTCCTGGAAATACTAGATACTTCTCTTTGCAAATTAAGCTAGCAAGTAGTTTAATTACCAAATCAAGGCAACAATTAATCTATCTAATTAAGTTCGTGCGGATTCATTTGATTATGCATTTAGCATAATTATATCAATAAAGAGCATACAACTATATATCCATCCTATTAAATACCTTATTCAGTGAATCCCGAATATGTTTCTCTGGCACTTCATCTATTGCAGGAATGGACATATCAAATCCACCTTGGATGTACTGACAGATGGAATTGCTAAAGAGACGGGGAACTTCTCCCCCCTGCACAACCATAGTCGCTAACATTCTGCCAACGACAATAAAAGCATTATTTCGTAATGCACCAACATTGCATCTCATGACATGCCCACAAGCTGTATCTATAGAAAATATTTAAAAAATTTTATTTTAATATATATTCAACAAATTTAAGAATCAGGAAATTCATACTAATTGGCAGCTAGGTAGGGTAAAAGATAAAACTATTTTAGATTTTTTAGACATCTATAGTTACTATCAATAGATTGATCAAGGTCAGTTTTGTTTTGGTGCTGCAGGGGATGCAAGGCAGTTTTGTGCAGTGGGTGGAGTTGGCCAGTTGCTAGGATGTAAATTAAGTGATATGTAATAAATTACTTTGAAATGTATAAGTGATTAACATTCAGTAGCAATTAATGAACTTCAATTCTTTCAATACACACTATGTACCAAAGCCCTACTACCAAGTGCTACAGGAATATATAAGAACTGATCAGTCTGGAAATCAGATTATCAGAAGTAATTCAGTGCTGTAACATACTGCAAACATATAAACATGTCATACTTGTTATTGTTCCACTTTCTCTTGCAATTGCTGCTAATAAAAGATGAAAAAATTCTCTTCTGGGTCCACCCAGGTCTACAGCATCCTCCTCACTTTCGAAAGTGGCAAAAGTCACTTGCAATAAACCTGATCCTTTCAGGAATCCCATTCTCTTAAAGTATGAATGTGCTGTCTGCCAAATGCTTAGGCGGCTGACAACAATGGTACGGTTTGGCCCATGGACTTTGGTATCTGCAAACTGTTTGATTTTGTACTGAAGATCATTGCTAGATAGAGCAGGTGCATTATCACTTTCATCATGATTTAGATTATCATCTTCAAATTGTTCAATTGTAGTCAAACTGTTGTTTATAGCTGTTTGAACAGCATCACTCTCATCTATACCAATAGGCCTAAATTTGGAATTGTAAAACTTATTATATTATATGTCTATATAGGAATCATCAGGTGGTCTTAGTAATTAATACTTACAGAAAATCTGTGCTTCATATGGAGGGACTATGTTGGGATCCTCCAAAGCACCAGCTACCAACTGATCAGCTGACATATCACTAGTACTGAAATCAGATTCGCCAAAATATTCTGGTTCATCACTGCCAATCACCTCAATTTCTGTCACTTCACTATTTTCCTCTTCTAATTTGTCTTTTTCCAGTACTGGAGCCAAATAGAGCATCAATCTTGAATATGCTTTTCCTATCCCTTCTTTGTACTCCTTTAAGGTGAATTCAGTATTTGTGCCAGGAATAGTGCGAGCTGACTGTCCATCAGGATATACCAAAACATAACCTCGCTCTCTTGAGAATGTTCGTTCATAATTCTCCCATTTCTCTAATGATTTCTCTAAAACTTCGTCATATTTCATGTCTTTACGAAGCTTAACGGAAAAGTTCTTCCCAAATAACTTTTTCAGGGAACCGCATTCAAACTCCATCAGGCCGACATTAATTAGCACTTCCTGGTTTTTTTCAGCCACCGACTTCTTTTTTTTCGATTTTGGCTCGAAGTAAGAACGTCGCTCAGATTCTTTCTCCTTCTTGAATGAAGCAAAACTGCGTGGTGTAACTGGCGCTACTTTAACCTCTGGATTTCTAAGTCTTGCAACAGCAGATCCTTCCCTGTTTTCGGTAGAAACACCACTAGTCGTGTCTACCGAGCTTGTGGCTGAACTTTTGTGCTTATCTCCATCTGTTACAACTTTTTTTTTCCCACAACTGGGACAAAAAATAAACCTTAACTCCAGTTGGCTTCCACAATGGGAACAAAACATTATAATTCTCTTGTTATTTTACTAATATAATCATTCAAACTTTACTATTGTCAGCCGGGCTAATAAAATGCATGCTTTTTCATTGTACACTTTCCCGCGCAAATTTCCTGGCAAGAGATGTAAGAACAAAAAAATGGAAACACAGTGTGCGCCCACGCTGTCTTGGGATAGCGGTAATTATTTTGCATTGATCAAACTTTATTTTGCATCGATCGGGATTAGTTTTGTTTGCATTGTGGTCAATTCTATTTTCTATCAGGATCGATTTTATTTTGCATTGTATTTCTTTAGCTTGGATTGAGAACAAATCTATGTTGTTTTCGGTACATTTCTATATATTATCATGCATTGTAAACATTAATTTTGCATTGAACATTTGTTTTATGCATTGCACATACGGGCCACCGTAATTATCAGGGTATAGTTTACATAAACATCAACATTGGATAATTTATAATTACCTTATAACAGTACACTTCTCAATTCGTCGAACACATGCGAGTATATGTTATTTAACATGTTAACATGTTATTTAACAACATGTTATTTAATAGTGTCATGAATATAGCGCCCGCATTAAAACTGCTCTACACCGGTTTTTCTTTTGAATTCCCTTGCAAAGAACTATACATTTGACTGCAAAACATAAGCTCTGATCGGTGATATTACTCACGGTCAAATATAAATGCATAATATAAATACATATTAAAGAGATGCCTGCGGAGGAGGCTAGTCTGACTCTGATCGCTTGATCGGTCGTGATCGGTCAGGAATTAAACAGCCAATAAGAAATGAAGATCAGACCAACCTCCAAAACGATCACAATTTGTGTCGCAATGGAAACTATCGATCTGACCAATCAGATTGATGAAAAACGCCCATAACCAACCTCTAAAACGATCAGACCAAACCCCCAAAACGATCACCATTTTTGTCTCCTTGGAAACCACCGAATAGGCCAAACAGATTGACCAGAAACGCCCCTAACCAACCTCCAGAACGATCACGATTGTGCAGTTTGAAATTTGAATTCAGAGCGGGGAAATCAAGAGAGATCAGTGTTAATTTAATTCATTCGGCCAGAAAATTAATTATGCCGCTGCAAATTTACAACTGGACTGCGTTCGAAAAAATAAATATCATTTCACTTTCATTGATCAAATTAGTGCGGAATTTTTACGTTAGTCGCGTGATTGGTGTGACTACCCTTAGATCCGCCCCTGCCGATGAACTATCGTTTTTTCACCTTGTTTAAGAAGTTTAATAA